GTCCTGGATCGAACATCGACCACGATTAAATTCGTTATACCAATTTTTTACAGTGATGTAGGATGGCGCTTTATCGCTGAATAAAGAATTAAGTTCATCGAAGCACTCTTGTCTTGTCAATCCACGTCGAAAGTTATGAAAAATAATGGCACGAAAATGTTCACGATTCAATTCCATTTTTTGAAAGAGAAGAACTTTTCAATTTACTGTCAACATAAATGAAGCTATAATGGTAAATCGTCTGCTGAATTTATGTATAAAAATATCAAACTTTCGATTAAAATCGTCTGCGGTCGCCTAGCAACACTTACTGTTGCCAAGGCCAGAAATATAAATAGCAACCCTCGTATTCTACAACAAACAGTGTTAAAATCAGGAGTTTTCTTTTACAGATTATGAATTTATAAAAGATCCATATATGAATATATATTTTTGTTCTCATTGACTAAGTTGCTTTTTCTCGTGGTGGAATTTTTCATTGTTCTCACAACTTCAGAAAGTCTGTTTTTTCATTGTTAGAAAAAAAAAATTCAGGTAGTCTTAGATGTATCTTGTTTAATTTTCAAGGCCCTTGATTAACTCAATATCTTGATTTAATATTTAATTAATTGAACAAAGATAATGAAGCGATTTTATTGAAAAAAAATTTGGGTACAAAAACATTTAATGCTTAGGTACGTTTTATGTTTATACGGTTACCATAACCTCTTAAATTTATTTAAATACCTATAAAACTACGTTTTTAGGTAAATATTTCATTTAAAAAAATTTAAATTCGTTCGCTAGGAACTTTTTAATTTTCAACAAATAAAAACCACGCTTTTAGCTATAACCTTAAAACCAATGATTATTTTTTTCTAAAACATTGTTACACACACTTCTTTTAATGCTAACAATATTCTGTTAAAATTTGAAAATGATATAATAAAAATTGCACTTTTTTGTTCTCAACGTTCAGTGTCCTATTAAAAACTTTCAAAGGAAATTTAAACCATACATGTTTACATATTAACTTTATTAAATGCTTTCAAAAATTTAGACTAATATATTTACTACTTCTTTCAATCACTAGAAAAATCACTACAACCTTTCAATCGCTAGAAAAAAATCACTACAACCTTTCAATCACTAGAAAAATAACTACAACCTTTCTATCACTAGAAAAATAACTACAACCTTTCAATCACTAGAAAAATCACTACAACCTTTCAATCACTAGAAAAATAACTACAACCTTTCAATCACTAGAAAAATAACTACAACCTTCCAATCACTAGAAAAATCACTCCAACCTTTCAATCACTAGAAAAATGTCAAAGTAAAGCAGTAAATCATTTTCAAATATAATTTTAAGTTATTTGAAAAACAGGCATGCTCAATTTAAATTTGTTTTTTAATAACTAGAAAATGCCATCAAACTTAAACAATATTTCACGTTACATAAGTAATAACAATATTTTTACACTTCGACTGGTTTAATCTTCAAATTTTTAAATCCAATTATTCCAACGGAAAAATTATCTAATTTACAATCAAATTTCAATGACAACACTTGTTAAACCTTAAAATTTTGAAAGTGTGACTTGAAGGGTTGTTAGTATTAATCTCTAAATTTCAAAATTTTATTAAATAAATGTAGGATGTTTAATTTGAATTATCATTACAAGTTTACCTTATCAAATCCTTTAATCTTATCTTAAATAGTAATATTAGTTTTAAATTTGTGAACTTCAAATTACTACTACCTACAAAAACAAGTTTTCTTACAAAGTAATACAGATAAAATTTAAATATTATTGCAATTACTGCACATAGAAAACTTCAAATAAATCTATTGTTTCAACAACACTTCAAAATAGAAATTTCTCTACACACATATACACTATCAATATGATAACGAGAAAATGTTTTTCTCCTCATACTGAACTAAAGTATTTTATTCTACCCATATATGTTACCCTGAATGATCGAAATTGTTGGTTGTTGACTTACGATAAATATTGACAATCACATAGTCGCTTTGGTAAATGTCCGAAATATGTACTAGATCTATGTAAGTGCCACTCTACTACTACTACTAAATCAATGAAATTTTCGGAAGGATCCAAGAACTTTGAAATTTGTACCAACTGTTCTTCAAACCAGGCTTCGCCTCACTACATCCTCGCGTGCCTGGAGCTCACCAAACAGGATTTAGCAGGTGATCCATTGACGGTGTTGGATTTTTTGAGGGTGTATAACGTCACGGACCTGGTCTAGCACTGCTGGTCAATGGGGTCGTGCAACAACAACAACAAGTGCCACTGCCCGGTATACCATACACTGATGTATTTTTAAGGTTCAGTGCCACTCCCCCGTATACATTTGCCAGGTACTTCGAATACTGATGTTTCTCCTGTTGTTGTTGCTAATTTACGTCGCACTAGAGCTGCACAATGGGCTATTGGCGACGGTCTGGGAAACATCCCTGAGGATGATCCGAAGACATGCCATCACAATTTTGATCCTCTGTGGAGGGGATAACACCCCCGCTTCGGTAGCCCGACGACCTCCCCGCGAAGTCGAGCACTTTACGGTAGAACAGTTTAACAAGGACCGATGCCGCACACCCTCGGTCCTTACGCAGACTGATCCAAGTGGTCACCCACCCGCACACTGACCGCAGCCAGTGATGCTTGACTTCGGTGATCTGCTGGGAACCGTGTCTTAACGATCAGTCCACTGCGGGACCTGATGTTTCTCCCAATCCATCCTCAGCAGATATTAAAATATCGAATAAATATAATAATATCAATAAATATAAAATCGGATATAACGAATATCTCGGACATTCAAAAAACGACCATGTGATTGTTGACATTCGCCGGTGAAAGTCGACATTCTCTTGATTTCGATCATTCACAGTAACTACACACAATTTGCCAGAAACGAGAAAGCACCTTTGCCTCTCTAAAGCGAATAAAAGATTATTAAAAAAAAACCCCGGCTTAACATACCATCACCGTTCATTCTTCAGCAACAATCTTCAAAGAAAAAGTCAAAATAAGCAATGAGAAGAACTAGACTCTTCAAGTCACGCAGTGGACTGATCGTAAAGACACGGTTTCCGGTAGTCAAGCATCACTGACTCCGACCAGTTAGCGGGTGGGTGACCACTTTGATCAGTCTGCGTAAGGACCAAGGGTGTGCGGCATCGGTCCTCGTTAAACTGTTCTACTGTAAAGTGCAGGTCGTCGGGCTACCAAAGCCATCCCCTCAGCAGAGGATGAAAATTGTGATGGCATGTCTTCGGATCATCCTCAGGGATGTTTCCCAGACCGTCGCGAATAAGCGAGTATGAGCCGCGATGGCTCGGGGGATAGAGCGTTCGCCTTCCAATGAGGTGAACCGGGTTCGATACCCAGGGATGTCGATACGAATCCGCATCCTGCTTCTCGCTTCTCACAGTGCTGACGTAAGATATCCTCAGTGGTAGACGGATCATGGGTTCGAGTCTCTTTGTCGTCATGCTATCCGTGGGTGGCTCTCGTGGTCTTCCTCTCTATGTAACGCAAATGTGGGTTAGTTCCATCAAAAATTCCTCCACGAAGGCAAATTTCACCCAATATTGCATAAAAGAGATCCCTTGCCTTCTGGATTGTGCTCAAAATTAGAAGACAAAGGAACTGAACATTAGTAGTCGTAAACCCAAAAGATTGGGTCGGCTGTTCAACGACGGTTATAAAATAAAACCATGGCCAAAGATGCTCATATTGATAATTGGACCATGCCGGTAATCCAGACTTTGAAGCACGTTCAAAAAACCGGACTGTTCTCGAAGGCAAACGAATTCTAGTTGTGGAAAACACACCCGTTAAATTCCCGGCGAACATCAGGATAGCCTGCATTGAAGAGAAACACGAAATAACATGTCATTTTCGTCGATGATAACCAAATATCTTATGAAAAAAGAAAAATGTAAGCTTTGTGCCTAGCCTTGAGTCAGCTCTGAGATACTGCCGGTCACAATTAAAATACATCGACGATGACATGACGAAATTTGAGTCTTGCCATAAGTTTACACGATTCCATATTTTTTCGGGCCCGTAAGTTGGAAATGCAAAACAAATTAATTTTGATAGCTGATGGTAGCAGAGCGTGGTTATTTCTAAGTTGCAGCTATGTATGTAAACTGTACGGTCAGTTCTGCGTCTTTTAAATATTCAAATTTAACAAATCGCGAGCCACGCACGAGATTCGATCAAATGATGCGTTTTTAGTCGGCAAAAAACCTATCTGCTGCACACTTCATATGCCTATTTGTGAAGTAGCAAAATTCACTGTCATGCTGCTGCTCTCGCAGCTTAGATCCCAGCTTTATTGGACTCTTTGGGTTGGAAAGTTTTGAACCTACAGCCCAGGCTTTGGGCTGAGCGGTTTTCATCTTTTCCTACATTTCAAACATAAAACTGGCAGCAATCACTACAATGATGACGAATACGTGAAATCCGCCGTGACCTCTTAGTGAACGGAGCAGGGGGCAAGTTTGTATGAAGGTATTCTAAATCTAATTACAAGGTATGATAAGTGTTTAAATAAACTTGGTAACTATGCCGAAAAAAACGTATGAAGAATCTGAAAACGAATTTGCTTCTGGCAAATTTTCTTTCATTTGGGTTTTTATTTGCACACGGCCTTACTTAAAAAACATCCCTCGTATATAATTAAGACTGAAACCCCGAACCGTGGGTCTTTACAAAAAAAATCAATAGGAGCTCGTTGACAACTGGTTGGTTTCTTACATTACAAAACTAAGATTATTTACAGAACTAAACTAATTCGCCATTAATCAAACAAACTCCGACAACCAGTGTCCAAACTTCAAGAAGACCAAACTCTATTGACTCGCAATTGTACAACCCAGAAACCAATATCTTTACCTCCCGTGCCCTCCCAGGTCAAAATTTTTTATCGTTTTCCATTGATGTACCAACATAATCTTGATGATAACTATCAATTCAATCCTCAATCATTATATTTTAATTGATGGTAACCAAAATAAGTAACCATCACCCCAATGTAGGAATTCGGACTGATTTATGATGGTCCAACATAAGAATAGCAACTTTTTTTAATGGTTTGTTTATGTTGAACCATCACGGATTTCCATCGTAGTATCTAAAAATCAAATGTTGGAACGATCATGAACCACCACCATCCCAATGTAGGAATTCGGACTGATTTATGATGGTCCAACATAAGAATAGCAACTTTTTTTAATGGTTTGTTTATGTTGAACCATCACGGATTTCCATCGTAGTATCTAAAAATCAAATGTTGGAACGATCATGAACCACCACCATCCCAATGTAGGAATTCGGACTGATTTATGATGGTCCAACATAAGAATAGCAACTTTTTTTAATGGTTTGTTTATGTTGAACCATCACGGATTTCCATCGTAGTATCTAAAAATCAAATGTTGGAACGATCATGAACCACCACCA